ACTTTTAAAATAGGGTCGTTCTATAGAAACCATCTTTGATTGCCAATTTATACATAAACCACCTTTAAAGTGCTTTTTTTGGTAATCAACCATTCGTATTCACTTTTCAATTAAGTGTTCTCCGTAAATGACCCTATTTAACCTCCATTAAGAATCATCTCTCCAATATACTTGGTATTTGACAGCAAATCATTACAGCAAAACCTAAAACACGTTAACTGAAAAGTGAGTACAGGTGGTAAATTGCAACAAAACACTTTAAAGATAGTTTATGTATAAATTGACAATCAAAGGTGGCTTCTGTAGAATGACCCTATTATAAAGGTGATTTCTAGGAAAAAATGTATAAATCGAGTTTGGCTTGTTAGACCTTAAAACAATGTAAATAATATGCAATTAAGCCACTTGCTTGAGTTACCATGGAAGTTTGGTTTGGCTTAGTATCTATTAATAAAATTCTAAAAAAATATTAGTTTCAACTGCTACTAGAATTAAAAAAAAGTTAGTTTTAGCTGTTGGAATAACATCTACATCTTTTATTGTATTTTATTATTTAATCATACAAGTACAACTACCTGATGACTTTAATACCAAGTACTTAGAAAGAATAATGATATGTAGTGTTAAAATAGTTGGTAATGATATTAGAGGGACGATAGTATCAACAAGCATAAACACATTAATCATTCTAATATACATTGAAAGTATATTTCTATTATATATACACAGGCTGGTACGTGTAGCATGTGTTATGCTTGTTTATAAATTCAAGCTCATCTTTAGGCTACACTTTGGCTCATTTGTTACTTAAGCTTAAAATCAACAAAACATGAAACTTTCATTTTCATGTGTTTATGCAATTAAGTCAATTGCTCGACTTAATGTAAGTTTGGTTTGGCTTAGCATCCATTAATAAAATTCTACAAGAAAATATTAGTTTCAACTGCTACTAAAATAACAAAAAGATTAGTTCTGCCTATTGGAATAACATCTACAACTTTTATCATATTTCATTATTTAATCATGCAAGTACAACTAGGACTTTATACCAAGTATATAGTAAGAATGATGATATGTAGTGTTAAAATAGTTGGTAATGACTTACTAGAGGGATGATAGTATTAACATGCATAAACACATTAATCATTCTAATATACTTTGTAAGTACATTTCTATTATATACACAGTCCGTCCAATATGCCTAGTTGGTGTTCGGCTTCTTTAAAAATTAAAGCTCGTTTTTGGGCTACAATTTGGGTCATTTATTACTCGAGCTTTTAAGCAAAACACAAAATTATCATGGGTTTATGCAATTAAGCTAATTGCTCGAGTTACTATGTAAGTTTAATTTGGCTTAGCGTCCATTAATAAAATTCTTTACAAAAAGTAGTTCTGATTGCTACTAGAATAAAAGGTTAGTTTTACACCATTGGAATAACATCTACAACTTTTATTGTATTACACTATTTAATCATGCAAGTACTACTATCTGATGACTTTAAAGAAAGTATTTAGTAATGATGATTTATGAGGGCGGTAAAATAGCTAATAATGGTTTACTAGAGACTAGAGGGAGGACAGTGTCAACAAGCATAAACACATTAATTATTCTAATATATTTTGTAAATATTTTTTTTTGTATACACCAGTCAATACGACTAGCTTGTGTTCCTTGTTTATAAATTCAAGCTCATCCATTGTTTTAGATATCACATATGCGTAAATATCGGACAATCAAAATCCATATCAAACTATGAAAATCGAGGATATATCCGGGATATGTAGTAAATATCAGGATGTCATTATTGGATGATGTTCATGCATAATATAACATTCTAATATGTTATCTAAACATATTTAATGATTTCTAAACATAAAATGCATCATAATATATCTTTAGGATGACTAACCGATTATAGAAACCTTATTCTCTATTGCATCATGAAACATTTAAATCGCATAACATTAAAAGAGATGTAGACAGAGTTTAGAGAGAGATAAAGAAAGGTATGGAGGAGGGAGAGAGGGGAGAGAGACCAAGAAGAGAGAGGTGTGGGGAGAGAAAGAGCAGAGAGAGGGCGAGAAAAGAGAGGAAGAGAGAGAGGGCAGAGAGAGTGAGGAAGAGAGAGGGAGCAAAGAGAGAAAGGTGGGAGAGGGAGGGAGAGGCAGAGAGAAGAGAGGGTAAACGAGAGAGGGAGCTTATCAGTAGAGAGCAAGAGAGGAACGAGAAAGAAGCGAGAGTCGAAATTGTAAGAGTTAGGATTTTGTGAGATCGATTATGGTTTCTGACGCAAATGAAGGATTTTATTTGGTATTTGGGTCAAGTTGGAAACCCCAAACCTAACATAAACCCAAATGAAACCTAAACAAAAAAAACCAATATCGAACAATATTGCAGATACATCGGATATTGGCGGATATATCAAAAAATTTTAAATCAGAATATGCCATAAACCTGTAAATATTGTTACGGATTGCCATAAAACCTGATATATCAGGCGATATTTACACTGAGCTCATCTGTAGGCTACAGTTAGGCTCATTTATTACTCGAGCTTAAAATCAAGCAAAACAGAAAGTTTTCCCGTGTGGTTTAGTTGTTTGACACTCCTAAAAAGATGAGGGCACTGCAAAATTTTAATTTGGTTGTGTTATAATGCACAAAAAACATACTTATACTCTATAATATGCTAAAAGCACATACCTTGTTGCTAAACATTAATGTCTTAAGAGGCAAAATTGATAAATTCTTCTCAAATACTTTGCTAATGACATTCAATCTGCACACAAACTTTATGAAAATGCATCTTCTTCTTCTCCTTGGCAGGAGGCTAATCAACAATATATGTGTTCCTTTATGATGACTAGTTCAGCTGATCAACAATGAACTCAAAAAACTTCAAAAAATTTCTTCCTCTTGAAAGATTTAAGATTTGCAACACCAACAATTGTTTATTGCAAAAAAATTCTATCCTAATGATTTTGTTTCTAAATGTAATAAATTGTATGCAACTCCTTAGGTTCCTACCTTCCAAGCCACAGAGTTATCAATCACGTAGATTTGCATGAAAACATCATGTTTATTTAGACAAAACAAAAAAAAAAACACTATAACCCATCCTCTAACAATTATTTATCTTCATTTAATTTCAACTATTTCCATCTGCCTGTACTTTTAATTCACTTCTCCACATAAGATTTAAAATTTGGATTAATTGCACATACACCCCCTGTAACATAGTTGTTTTAAAGCTTACTACTCCCACAGTTTCATTTTGGCAGAAACACCCCGGGGTGAAATTTTTTTCCTCTCCCCTGGCTGGGGTAAAAGCGCACCATCACCTTCTCACCTGACTTCAGGCCTTCATGGCACAACAAAAAAATTCACCAGGATTCTATATGCTAAACTCAATCCACAGGGTTAATAAGTTTCAAACTGCCATAATCAGAGGTTTTATGTGCAATTAACCCTAATCTTTTTACCAAGTCCAACAATTTAGATACAGGACAGCGTATACGCTTGTAATGTTTAATCTCGGTAAATTGAAATGCAATGGGTTAAGAAATTAAACAACCTGATGCATTCCGCTCAAATTTGCAAAGAGGGCATCTTGCAACATCGGCCGAGGCGAAAGATAAAAGGGTTCCACAGATTCCACAGAACAAGAAATCTCGAGCACTGTGATACGTCGACATTCCTGATTAAAATTTAGGGGGGGAAATAGAAATTTTGATAAGAAGAAGAGAAAGAAATCTTAAAAACATAAAGTTGCGTACTTCTAATAGAAAACTATGATATACTGCTTTCTTCCTAAACAAAAAAGAAGATACCTTTGGTGTAATAGTGGGGTTTAGGGTTTAGAAACAGAAGAAAAAAAAAATTCTAACCTTTCGGGGGTCAAGAAGGCGAGTTCCAGAGCGCGGAAAAGAGGGCGGCGACGCTGCGAGCGTGCGATGATGGGAAGGACGGGGATTGGGATCGGGTCGGATCCTGTTGGATTCGTATATCCATTATGAACTTGTGGTTGCGGTGGGTGTTATTGATTGGTGTAAATTTAGAGATAATAGGATAATTTTTAGAACAACACTTCTTGGTGTTATTCACTGGGTTAATTGGATATGGATTCAACTTTACACTGTTATTGATTTGTTGGGATAATTGTGGGACAAATACATCGCTTTTCCTAAAATTACCCCAACTATATAAACATCCTCAGACCACACCCTCAAAATTACTCCAAATCCCTTGCTTGAACAACAACCTAGGTAATCTTGCCCTCTCCATAACGCCTCTCCTTCTTCCATCGCATACTCCAATCCCTCCTCTTCCGCCTCCTCTTCCGCCGCCTCAACCGCCTCGGACCCAGAGCCTCCGACGTTAATCCGTCCTCCGCCGCCTCATCCTCCATCGCCTCAACCGTCTCCTGAACCCAGAGTCGCTTGGTACGTGCCATTTTCCCCCAATTGTTCTTTCCATTTTTTAAAGTTAATTTAGGGTTTTTTCTCCTTTTCTAAACATCTCCTTTTCTCTACTTTTTGAAATCTAGGGTTTTTTAGCTAGCTGAAGTTGGATGGATCTATGTGATAATATTTTCTTAATTTTTAGTACTTTTTCAGTATTTATATGATTTTTTCTTAATAATACATTTGGTAGACTGATTTGTTGAATTGTTAGTTACGCGCGGACTCTATATGAAATTAATTCTATGATAATTGTGGGCAGTAGAAGCTTGTGTCTTGATAAACAACTAGTTTTAGCCTATTTTACGGTGAAGTTGTGTGATATCTGACAAAGAGAAACCAATAACTTCATGCTTCATTAGCAGTTCTTGTGTTTGATTTTCACCTCAAATATTTAACATAAGCCACAAGGTCCTTTTCCCATGACAAGCTAGTCTGACTCGTTACATTTGTGTTTGATTTTCTATGAAAAGCTTGCTGCTTCTCTATTTTCCTTCCACTTCTGTAGAGTCTGTTTTTGAAGATATGGTTGAAAGTTCATGGCATAATTAGTTACACATATGATTTATACTATACTTATAAAACTTGTCGGAACTTTAAATATATTGTCCTATACTCAGTATGTCACCCATTGGTTTACTATTTCAAAATTTTATCTGGTCTCTGGACAACTAGTACAAAGAATTACACGTGCTTCCTTGTTTTCCTTTGGGAGTGTTGGCTTATTGTGTAGAGGCAGGGCCGGCTCTTGGGGAGTTCAACCTGTTCGCCCGCACAGGGCCCCGAAATTTAGGGGCCCCAAATTTTTTTAATTTATATTTATATATATAGGGAGAATAAATATGGACCGTCTATTTCACAAACCCCTTAATCTCAACCGTCCACGTCAAAACCCTTCCTTCAAAAGAAGCAACCAATCTTCAATGAATCACAAATCAGATCTGGCCGCCGCTCTCTCCTCCAAAAGAGTAAATTGGAATTTATTGATATTTTGTATATAGAGAAGTGTCATGTGTTTACTTTTCGCACAGGGCCCCTAAAATCTCAGAACTGGCCCTGTAGAGGAATTCCTATGAATTGCTACAAGTTATGTCTAGAACTTGTTGATTTGAGATATTAAAAGGGGGAACATAATATACCGTAGTTAGAGCACTTTGATGACTGATAAAATGGAAGGGGTGGCTTTGTTGCTAGGGCATTAGCTGTTGTTATGTTGATTCACCATAAAATGAATAAAGATTTACACTTGATGCGTAGGTTATTCAGATTTCAGATGTCCAGGGGTACCTCACTAGCAGTTCATGTGAACAAGTACACTAAGTTGTTATCGGACTTGACGAATGTTGATGAGAAGATATCGGATGAGTACAAGGCTATTATTCTTTTGGGTTCCTTACCGGATGAGGGATACGATACATTTGTGCTTACTTTGTTGAATGAGAGATCTTCTATCAGCTATAGTGAAGTAACTAACGCTTTGACGAGCTATGATTTGAAGAGGAAGGACAAGGAGACTTCTCGCGCTAGTACTTCAGGAGAGGCCTTGACGACAAGATGTAGAAGCTCATATCCGAGAGGTGGCAATAGAGGTAGGTCAAAGTCAAGAGGCCATTGCTAGTTAGCGAAGAACAATACATTCTGCAAGGAGCAGGGACATTGGAAGAGAGACTGCCCGAAGCTCAAGGAGAAGGTGAATGGCAAGAAAAAAAAAGGCCAGAATGTCAATGACGTGAATGTTGCGAAAGGCGATGATTCAGATGATTCGAGCTTTTCTCTACTGATTACTCCAAAGGTGAACCACTCCGAAGGGAGCCAAGAGTGGAAAGATTGAATTCTGGAGCACTGTGTACTTGACAAGAAGACAAAGGTGAAGTTCGAGACTGTTATTCATAGGATGATGGGCATCCTAGATTACGTGCACACAGATGTTTAGGGTCCTACCAAGACTGCATCATTTGGTGGTCGACATTGGTTCATCACGTTCGTTGATGACTATTCTAGGTGTTGTTGGGTGTATACCATGGCAAAGAAGAGTGAAGCCCTAGATATATTTGTAGAGTGGAAGAAGAGGTTAGAACTGTAGACTGGGAGAAAGATCAATACGTTGCGATCCGACAATGGTGGTGAGTACACATCAGACCCCTTTCAGGTGTGTATACGGTAAAAATTACCGCCACGAACTTGTACATGAATCCCCCGCGAATCGGAACCGCCCACTTGGGTGAAGACTGAAGGGCGAACCGCAACCACGGGTTGCGCTCGTTGGCGCAAGCCCAAACCACACAAGCCCCATAATTCGCCCTCATGAGCTGAAGTCACCTAGATTCGCCGGTATGGTAGGCTCGCCCCATAAACCGAAGTCATCCAGATTCGCCTGTATGATCTACTCGCCTGCATAAGTCAAGATCATCCAAATTCGCCCGCTTACTCGACTCGCCTGCACGAGTCGAGGGCCAAATTCATACCCGACGGCCTTTCCACTTCATACAAGGATGGGTTTTCCCCACTTTCCGTGATGTGAAGGGAGGGGGCATAGTACTCCAAGCCCGTCGAGTGGCCGCTCACAGTACGAGTGATCGGACAGGCACCAAATCTGCCTGTGCACTTATAAATGCAGTTCACTTCGCCCGTCCGAATCGAGAGCTAGACCCGCCGGCACTTGGCGAGCTGTCCAAACCCACTCGAGTACTGGACACCCATTTTCCCACTTCTCATGATGTGAAGGGAGAGAGCACAGTATTCTAAGCCCGTCGAGTGGCCGTTCACAGTACGAATGATCAGACAGACGCCAGATCAACCTGCACCCCTATAAATGCAGTTCATCTCGCCTGTCCTAGTCAAGGTCAGGATTAGCCGGCATTCGACGAGCTAGCCAAACACACTCGAGTATTGGGCAGCCGCTGTCTCACATACGAGGAAAGGCCATTTCACTCCTACGTGATGTGATGTGAAACACAGCACCTCGAATGACCGCTCATAGTACAGGTGAGCAGCAACATACCTCTCAACAGTACATGGTCACATCCCATGATTTAGGGGGGGGGCAATCCATCTCTCCTCTATTTAAGAGCTTCTTCTAGCCACAATGAATGGGCTGGGGGAAAAGGTTCGAAGGGTTCGAAGGTGTGGAGCATTCAACATAGAACGATCCAACATTCAGTAGCTCGCCCATAGTTAATTGATTAATCCCCTCAGTTAACCGAACCACTAGCTCTCAACCCCCGATCGGGTCAACGACGACTTCTTTGCTTAACCTTTGCACTACAACGCCCTCCTCTAGTTCCGAGCCCTGATCGCAGTCAAACTAGGAGATTCAAAGTCCATCAACCCGAGCCTCTACTGTGTACTGAAGCTCGCCAGCAACCTCGGTCGAACCGTCCAAGGGAAGCAGACTCGGTGTGAGAACCGAGCGAAGCATCCTGTAGCTACCGAAATTCCCCACATTTAAACAAGGAGGGCATTCCCTCTGCTTCTGTTGTAATTTCGATTAATTAGTTTGTAATAAGCTATTCTTATCAATACAAGCGAAGTTCCCTGTTTTTGGGAGATTAAAATTTACACCTACAGAAGATGGTGACCACAGTGGGAGAAGTTATTTCTTCAAACAAAATGGTGGTAGCTCAGTTCGACGAGGTTGCTATTGGGAAGACTGTGGAGTCCCTAGAGATCGAGTTTGACCAAGCCAAGTACGAAGAGTACTTGTCTTCCTCTTCCTCTGGTGGCAATGCGTCCCGCAAACGCCACCGAGTCGTGCGCAGAGGCCAACCTCAAACGGTCAAAGCCTCCGCGCCTGAAGGCTCCACCCAAGTCTCGACGGAGGGACCTTCTCCCTCCAAATCAATCAAGGCCAAGCCAGGGCAAAAGCCTGCCAGATGGGTCGCCAAGCGGCCCTCACAGGTACCCGCCCCGGAAAGAACGGAAGTTCCTTCCGGCGCAGACTGTACCGCCACAGCCCTCACGGACACTCTTCTCTCTAGAGGAGCTCGCCAGTGTTTGTTGGAAATTTGCAGTAAAAAGACAATGAAAGAAAAATTGACTTGTATTCCTCTCAAAATCAATTACAATTTGGATTCCGATTACAAAAGAGAGGAAAATGAATTTGATTCTCCCCTTTGTTTAATTCTGGGTTCTTCACGGTGGCGGTGGAGTGCCTCCCTCGAATGCTCGCGTCGAGTTTGCTCTCCGTTGACGATCCGCACGTCTTGATTCACTGGAACGAAGTCTTCTTCTCACGATTCGACGCTGTGGAGAACTTGCAAAGCATGTTTGAAACTCTGGACGAGTTGATAACTCTGGATAAGTTGGAAACTCTTGAAAAAGAGTTGATTTGAACCGAGTTGATTTAACCGAAATCGGTTAGTAAGCCATGGAAACTCTTGAAAAAGAGTTGATTTGAACCGAGTTGATTTAACCGAAATCGGTTAGTAAGCCAAGGATGAAGAAGATCCTGTTGCTGGTCTCAGTAAGCCAAGGATGAAGAAGATCCTGTTGCTGGTCTCCAAAACTCTAACAATTCCCCTCAAAAGCTAGCTGAAGATCTCTTCTTTGCTCCCCCAAAAAAAAAGGAT